ACCAAAAAACACTAAACCCCAAAACCCAAAAACACTAAACCCCAAAACCAAAAAACACCAAACCCTAAAACCCCTCAAGCCCAGGGCCCTCGGCCCTAAACCTGAAGGCCCTTTTGCACGAAGCCCAAAGAGCCACGTTTTGCCGAGGCACAAAACAGCTGCAAATGCCCATACAGCCATGGCGAGGTGCGGCGGCGTGTACGCCGTCCTTGTAGTGTCTTAGGATTTAGGGTGTATAAGGCTTATTATAGGGCTTTAGGGCATAGGGCCTATACGGTCTAGGAGTTGTTTTTCCCTCTTCTTGGTACACTTCTCTAGGAGTTAAGGGTTAAGGGTTCTGGGTTTTTTCCCAACCGGCTTCGCTGACTAGGTCGCACGGTCGCACTGCAGGGAAGGGGGTTTAGGGTTCGGGGGCTTAGGGAAGTTTAGGATTTAAAGGGCCTGGGTTTTTAGATGCTTGTGCTTCCCCGTGCCTAACTTTCTTGGTTGAACCATTCTATAGTTAGGATCCTGATTCGAAACTCAAAATAGGAAAAGGTTTGGAGATGATAGAGGGTTTACAATGCCCCGGACAAAGTTAAAGTTTGCCCCTTAAGCCCTTTTTCAGCACGGACTGAGGTGCCGGCCAGCGCCCTTAAACCCTAAACCCCTTATAGAAACCCTTAGAGGACCCCTTTTCGCCAAGAGGCAGCCCTGAGCCCTGCGGCCCTCCCCGTAACATGGCATCGGCAGCCTTCGAGGGTCAGGGCCAGGGTTTAGGGTTTAGGGTTTCGGGTTTAGGGTTTAGGGTTTAGGGCCAGGGTTCCCTAAGGCTCCATGTGCCCATACTGTTGATGATATAAACCCTGCCTTAAGGACCCTAAACTATGGGAGGTATGGTCTATATTCCTCATTTCGGGTATGGCAGGATTTACATACTTGGGCCTTAAAGTTTAAAGGGGGCTCCTATACTATCATAAACAGGTACAGTAAAGTTAAGGCCTAAGTCTTTAGTATATGGTTACCCTCGGATACATGGAGCCTTAGGGGGTTTATAGGGTCTAGGGCTTAGCCCTCTGCGAAGATTTCAATCTGCGCATCCCATAAGAACCGGCTGTTGCTGCTCTGAAAATGCCCTTGGGTTCAGGTTTGCTCTTGCATCTCTGTCCTTGGCGTTCAGGGTTTCGGGGTTCAGGGAGTGGATGTACTGGGCGAGGGGATCTGAGAAAACCTCCAAAGCTGCACTGGGTCTTGCTTCAGACTTCCCTCAGCGTATAACGAGATCTCTCAACGACACCTTGCACGACAGGTACGGCTTGAAACTGCTACCCTTTTGAGAGTTCCTTAGCCATATATCTAGAACCCCACGAAGCCTTGTAACAGCTGACATCGTTGTATAACCTAGCCCCAACCTGAAGCACCTAAATCCTAAACCCTAAACCCTTGTACATCTGGACCTGAACCCTACCTTACCCCACCAGAACCTACTTTTTTGTAGGGTCCCTATAAATTCCATATTAGGGCTCATAATAAGAACCTACAAAAAAGTAGGTTTTGGTAGGTTAAGGTAAACCTATATCATCCTGAACACCGGCCTTTGGGAATAGGTGTCCGCAGGCGTCCTCTCGACATGGTCGTGCACATGTCGACAGGTTTTTTGGGCTTTGGGGGTTCGGGTTTAGGGACGTCTAGGGTTTAATATAGGAGCCTTAACTTAATAATTAGAATAGAGTTTTGAGGCATGGTATGGTATGATTAGAATAAGGGACCCCCAAAACCCCATTCTAACTATGAAGGCCCCTATATTAGAGAGATTTACACGGGTTCCCACTAGACCGCCATGCCATTTGGGCGCACACATGCCACACTTTTAGCTCAAAGGACAGATGTGCACGTCCGGAACAGAGAAGGACAAGCAGCGTTTAGGACTGTCCTTCGGCCAGACACTCTAGTGAGGGGACAAGGGTCGCAAGTGAAAACCAGTTCGAACTTGCTTGTTTAGGAGGCAGCCCGGCTTGATGGGCGACGGAGTCTCGGTGCACACAGGATGCGGCTCTCTAACTCTACAAGTTTAACAATGCGAAAAGGATCCTCAATCCCTTTTTTACATCAGGCTTGCATGTCGCGCCTGGCTGTGTTGAAGGCCCTGACAGAGCGATCCTCAATCCCCAAATCCTAAACCGTTCAACCCTACACCCTCAAGCTGCTGCCACAAGGTCCTGGGGCGCCACTTTGGCAAATGCCCAAATGGTCTGTTCCAGCTGGCTGGGCCTAGGTCGTGAGGTTTGTATACGGGCCAAGTGCCCTATTCGCTAGAACCAGACTTTCGCAAGTGTACTTTACTGTATAACCATATAATCATACGTTATACGGAGACACCACCTGCTAATTATTAAGACCCCCAAATTGCAGGCATGACATCCAAAAGCTCAAAGAGTCTCAACTTCAAAAAAAGCCGCAATCGTTCGGACCCGCGAATCAACTTTGTCCGAGGAGCGTGTACTCCGGCATGCGTGACATGATCAAGCAGCTCGCTCTGCGGAAGAACGTGTCATCCCTTTGTGCCAACTTCGCCCACGACCACAACACCTGGAAAGCGATTTTCTCATGGAGCGGACTCCAGGAAAAGAAGCACACTCAGATCTTTAATCAAAAACCAAGTAGGACACTGCAATGCACTGACGGTGGGATTTCTGTATGTGACGCCTGCGACAAAAGTCCAAACAAAAAAGCAGCCTTTTAAGCTCATGTTTCATTGACACTGACTTTCTCCGGAGTTTTACACGCACATCTGAGCATCATGTTAATGAACCAGCTGCAGCAACGAAAATAATGCAATCGAAGCGGGGTAGTAATCGCAATGGTCATACCAATCTTATTCGTAACACTTAAGAGCAGTAGCGATAACATAAAAAATCAGAAGAGCAGTAGAAATCGTCAAAGCAAATTTATAGCACAAGTAAACGATCAAGTCCCAGCCGCACGCGAGAGGTCGCCAGGTGCCCACGCTGCACTGCCTTGCTCGCGGATGGCTGTGTTGATGGACCTCCACATGAACAGGTTCACTGTTCTGGGTTGTAGCTTGACAGAACCTAGAGATACGTAGATCGTAAGTAGAGAACCTGAGCATACACTTCAATGACACAGAAAGTATTAATTACATACGCCTCAGCTGACCGAAACGCCTCAGCTGACTGAAACTAGGCAGCGACTGGAAATCAAAAGCACAACGGCAAGGCCAAGACAGCTTGGATTAAACTTCACAGTTGTTCCCAGAGGGTCCTCCATACGTATACAGTAAAAAGTAGTGTTTCCATAGTAGGAGTTACCAATACGATGTGAGAAATTATCCCTGATGTAACGATGTAGCTACTTAGGATCCTCTGCTTACGGAGGAAGGTGTGGCTGTAACTTTCCACCCGTTCATCCGTAAGCCCATCCTGCTGAAACCACCTCAAAACCAAAAGGTATGCTTCTGTGGCAGCACCGCTATCTATATCTATGCGCATATATAGATATATACAATTGTAAACACCATATACTATATCCTGTATGCTATATACTAGGCATATATATATATATAGCCACTTTATAAATAGTACATGACATGTGTGCATGTGTATACATACATATATATATATATGTGTGTGTGTGTACGTATGTACGTATGTACGTACGTATGTACATATGTACGTACATATGTACGTATGCACGTATGTACATATGTATATACGTAGGTATGTATGTATGCATGTATGTATGGTTGGTAGTGTATATTGTATTGTATGGTATGTATGTGTATACGTATATATATATATATATGGTTAGATATACACGTGTATATATATATATACAGATACATAAATAGATATAGATACATACATAAATACATACGCACATGCATACATACACACTATGGCCCGCCTAACCATGTCCAGAATCTCCGATGCGCTGTGGAGCTCCTTAGTGCCAACATGCAGCTTTCGCGCTGCCTTTTTTGTGAAGCGTAACAGCTATAGGGACCTCTTTGAGATATCCTGCTCTATGTATATATATACACATAATAACAAGTATTATTTTTAAAAGATTAGGGGCTTCCGAAAATATGAGGTGAGGTTTCGCAAGAGAAGATGTTGGCCCTAGAAAAGCCTCCGGGGCGCTGGGATGCCCATGGTGGCCAGGCTCCAGGGAACGAGGGAGATGCTCATGGGATCCCACTCACCTGCTGTTCAAGGGACTAAAGGAGGGACCCTTAAAGGGACCCTTGGGGTTATATAGGGGCTTGATGAGACTATATAAGGGGTATATAAGGGTTATAGAGGGTGTTTGGATCAAGGGTCCCTTCTAGGGATCCCACTCACCTGCTGTTGACACCGCTGAAGAGACAGCCACATTATATGGAAAGCAAACCTGTGAGGTCCTACTAAAATCCTAGAAACAGGAATCGAAGATACAGGTCTATACCACAATAAGAACACGCCGTTAAGGAACACCCAGCCTGGGCCCTCTCGACTAGCGCAGCGCGTGGCGGCGGTCCGAAGGAGGGGAAGGCCCTCGAGAGCCCGCAGCCGCGCCAGGGCCCAAGACATGTTGGCCAGTTGGCGCGGCTGCGCCTTTCGGATTTGGTTTAGGGTTTTTTCCCTCTCGCATGATTTGGTTTAGGGTTTAGGGTTTAGGGTTTTGGGTTTATAGGGCTTTTCGCACCTGCCGTGGGGTTTTGAGACATAATTTAGGGAAGTCTTCAACTCGAGATCATCCTTCACAACATCAACCGAAAACTCACGGGCAACAGTGCAAATCTGGGCATGCCTGCTTCAGCGCGTCCGCGTTTCCCAGCCGAGCAAGCAGGACGGTAAAGGATGGATGCTGCTTCACAGAGGCAGAGAGGCTGGCCCGCCACAGACGCTGCTCTCTCTGAGAAAGCGCCGTGCGTGTCGGGTTCACTGCTTCAGGACGCACCATCCGACCATTTTGGACATGATTGTCCACGTCGTGGCTGCAGCGCGCCAAACGATGCAATGCCATAGAGCATGCAAAGTTGTCCATCTCCGGCAACCTCGTCTCAATGACAGCCTCCACATGGCACAAAGATATGATCATCAAGTGAATGCCGTGACCCGTAAATCCGCGGCCACATGAAATGGCAACCCTAGGGTAGCCCCACTCACCTCAACCCTAAACCCTGAGTCACTCTATAAGTAGACCTAAACACTACCTATAGTCTCCATTGTAGTTCCTTTTTGGGGTTACCTTTGAGGATCCTTAATATAAATTTGGTTAAACCAGAAAAAGGAACTACATTGGAGATTCTAGGTAGACCGTTTCCTAAACCCTAAACCCTAAACCCCTATTCCATATTAGGGCTCATAATAAGAACCTACAAAAAAGTAGGTTTTGGTAGGTTAAGGTAGACCTAAACACGAAACTTCGCCTGCAGCTCCTCCATGCTCCTTGCCATCTGGAGCGATCCAACAACCTCCAAGCCCAAACCCCTCAGGTACCTACTATATAGGGCCCTAGGGGCTCTAGTACCCTATATAGTAGGTACCTGGGGGGTTAGGGAAGCATCTCGGATCTCGCCCTTTAGTGCTTAGTTTGGGGCTTGTGGTTCACAGCTGCATACGATTTCCTAGCACCTTGTGACTCCTCCTTCGCAAGGGAGAAACCTTGCAGTGTATACCGTCAGGGATAAACTTGTTTTGTTTAGGGCTGTCATGGTTCTGCAGGGCTTGTTTTCTTTAGAGGTTGAGGGTTTAGGCGAAACCCGCTTACAGTAGCAATTGCCACAAAAACCGTAGTGCAGGTATAGCAGTGGCCAAATACTTCCTTTTCAGGGACCGTTACCGAAATTGAGGAACCACTTCTTACTTCTGATTGCATCAAGATCATCCTGAAGGGACTAAGGGATTCGTGACTTCATGATTCCTGTGTCGCCTGTCGACGCTGAAGATTCTCCAAACCAGACTGCCCCCCGCGCACAGCAGCATCGGTGGCAGACAGCACCTGCATCAAGCACACCCACAAGAGTCATGCAACTTTCCAAGCGGGACCTTCGGTATTCCGGCGTGCGATAACAGCGGTTGAAGCTCAAATCGCCTACCGGTCAAGTAAATTGCGAACCGAGTACAGTAAAGCTGAAGTGGCAATCATACCACCAAAAACATTGACGAATATATTACCTGAAGTACCAAAAAGCAGCAGTACCGGGAAAGTTAACATTAGAACCAACTGAAGGCCGCTCTGTGCCCCCATCAATTCCCAGCCCAAAACTCATATCCGTAGGATGGTATGACTACTGCTCATATTTTCCACATCATAGATTGCTACTGCTGTAATCAATCCAAAACCTCCAGTCTTTACCATTGAAGCAGCCTTGGCGGCGTCAACATCATTGGCAGCAGACTCAATCTGTCGTGCTCTCGCAGTGCAAAACATGCATGCATTGCTGACGTGAGGGAGAGCAGAAGACAAGCGGACTTATCGTTCGCTTCTCACATCGATGAATATGAACCGCTGGAGTATGCAGTCACGACCCCTTCCGTCCCTAACGCATGCACAGCAACTGAACAGCTCTCCAGACTCCCAGAACTCAACAATCAATGCGAATAAATCCTAAACCCTAAACCCTGAACCCTGAACCCTAAACCCTATAAACCCTAAATCCTGAAGTCGGGCCCGAGGCGCCACGGAGGCCTTCTTTAGGCCCCTTCCCGCCAAGGAGCCTACAACTGCGGTCTCGGTTCTCTTGGGGTCACAAGCTTGCTTCTTGGAGAAGCTAGGCAAGTTATGTAGTTTCATAGGGTTCCTGTTTAAGGGTTCCTTAAAGGGTTCTGTAAGAGCTACTACAAGGGTTTAGGGTGTAGGGGCCTTAATAATTAGAATAGGGTTTTGGGGCATGAATAAATACATGTATAATCAGGAACCCTTAAAATAGTATAGGTGGCTGCTAGGAGGCCCCTATATTAGAGAAGCCACGGATGCTATTAAATCATCGAATCATAAAACCTGCCCGGCCGGTAGGCCACATCTTTCTAGACTCTAGACACGGTAATATGGAGGGCCTTAATAATTAGAATAGGGTTTTGGGGCCCACTATTCTATTCTTTTAAAGGAACCCTGAAAATAGTATTGGTAATTCTTTAGTTAGGCCCCGACAATGAACTTCTGCGATGCTTCGCACCCGAAAGCCTGAAGTTACTCCCTGCCACCATACCTCTGTGACCCTAGGCTTCCAGGGACCTTCTTATGAACGCCGAGATGCAGTCAATGAGGCAAGGAGAACAACACTTCTGCGCACCATGCGTGTGATCAGGGCAGTTGTTCGAGGCGCAGAGTAGTGTACAATTGCCGTCAGGAACTCTGAGGTGTAGCATTACAAGAAACAGCCGTATAAAAAATACGCAACGCATGTAATTTCCAGAGAAACCCGAAACTCGAAATTCAACGCGCAGGGGCCGTAATAGGAGACCGACGAGCTTGAAGCGGAGGAGGACCTAGCTGGGCTCTCGGAGCTCTCAGTGTCTTTCTGGTGGGGAGCCGGCGGCCCAACTCCAGTTCAATGACTTGTAGGGTTTAGGGTTTGGGGCCCCCCTAATCCCTAAACCTTAATTCCCCTCACCATGAAGTTGGGTTTTAGGGGCCAGCTTTCGGCCCTCGGCCGGCTAGCCCTGCCGATTTCGCCGTACCCCGAACAGGCTCCTACTGTAATGTAGGGGCCTTAATAATTACCTAGATTATTTTAGGGGCTCCCGATTATATTTATACTATAAAGGACCCCCAAACCCTATTCTAATTATTAAGGCCCCTACATTACCTGCTCACACGGTTCGTAGGCTCTGGTCCCAGTCATGTTTACACTTCAAGGGCTTGCGAGCGCTGGACGGTACGTTGGCTTTGGGACTTGCGCCCGACCGGCTTAATTGATGACCGGCACGGACGTCATGCAGCCTACGTGACAACCGGAGCTGCAGCTCCTGCTAGCCGAAAGTCTGCCGTTTCGATGCCCTCTCCCTTCCCCCTGAACCTGTAAACACCCTAAGCTCCGGATCCTAAACCCACCACCCGCAAACCACAAAAAACCCTCCCACCTCTGCTCCTCTGTGTTTCTGCTCGGCACGTCGGGCACGGGCGGTGTCTCCTTTTGAGAGGGCTGAAGGTCATTGATTCATGGCGCGGTCCGTCGGAAGACCTTAAGGTCTTTAGGGCTTTAGGGTTAAAGCTCCTACATAGTATACCCTAACCTTTCAAGGGTTCCTCAAAGAGGGATACTATAGGGTTTTATATCTGTTTAAAGGACCTTTTTCCACCTAGCAGTTAAGGTCGGTAGAATCCGCCAAGAGTGGAAGGCCCTAAACAGGAAATCTTGGGTCTATGGGTTTTGGGTTTAAGCTTAAAGCTGCCTGGAAGGCCCGGCACCTGTATGATGGGGTGATACATGGTGGGGACCGTCAACTGCTATGCTCCGGCCTCCATACATATATATATATATATACACATACCGTACATATATACAATAACACAGACATAACTAAACTGCATTCTTGCTGTTCGAATCATCGTTCTTCGTGTTCTGTATTTGCTTGCCAGAACCTTACTTCCTAACCCCACTCTTGCCATCGATACCCAAAAACCCCTTCCAAGCATCTCCGACCTCCAGGCTGTAGGTCGCAAATGGCTCAGCGCCGCCCTTCCCCTTTGGGGCCTCGCAGCTTCGGTGTCTTCAAAAACACGAGGCTTCGGGCGATAAATTCACCTTCCTAGCAACAGATTTCCCACTTCGAAAAATAAACACTGTTAATTACATACACTCAGGGTTGAAAACTCTATACAATGCAGACCCTCGGACTGCTGGCGCTCTGTGACTGGCTGGACTCGCTTCTTGCGGAGAAACTGACTACGTACACGGCGTGCGAGCTTGAGCAGATGCAATCTCTGGAGGCGTGCTCAAGCAGGGAGGGATGCCAGGTGTCAAACTTCAGTCTGACAGGGCTCGAACCAAGTCTCATGAACTGGTTGGGCACTAACTCGTCTTCAGACTGTGATACTTCCTATTAAATACATCCTGAAATCCTGAATCAGAAACAACAAGTGCGCAGCCAAGCGTAAGGAGGATGGAAACAAACCCCGCAACTTTTCATGCTACCACGAGAACCAGCAAGCCCCACGAAAGGCGATCCCCACGAGCCACCACATCTCCCCAACCGAAACCCAAGTGGCGTAGTAGGACACCATCCGCTCTGCGCCACCATGACAAGGATTGCCATGGGCCCGGGGGCTTCCTTTCTCCGCTCCTTTTGAGGGCCGTCCTTGAGAGGGGGGGGCCTTGATGGGGTTGAATGTAAAAGGGGGGGTCAAGGTCGGGGCTTTTGGTGAAGGCTTTGGGCTGCAAGATGGCGTGTGAAGCAACTGAGGTCCTAGGGATGAGGGCTGAAGGTTCTGGGTGAGAAGTCGCATGCTTGCTGCAGGCGCTTCTGGGTTTGGCTTCGCAGGGATCGCTGGATGTTGTGAGGGCGGACGTGCAGTTTCATGCCACTCCTTCTTGATATCCTGGGCTCATTAGGAGATACGGCTGCGTTCGTGCCTCTTGTCAAACTCAAGCTTGGCTATCCAGCATGTTCTCTTCCAGGTCTTTGCAAGCGTGGCGAATCTAGGCCAATGTGGTCAGCGGCTCGCATGCCAGCAGCTTGAAAGTACAAATGGCCGCAGCGACAACCACGAGCCCCAAAGAAACGAGTAAGAGGTGTCAGGTGTCAGTACTGTATCAGGATGAAGCTACACGGGTTGGGTATTGTGCGCTGGGCTCATGTCGCTTGCCCTGGCTTCCAGCTTCTGCAGACAGGCTGTGTTGGATGCTGGATAGAGAAGTTGCCGGAACACTATAGGAGCCAAACATCGCCATCCCCATTAACACAACATCCACGCCCTCAAACCAACCAAACCTTCCAACACCCCTCAAAAACCCGGCTTGATGCAACCCTATAAGACCACCGACCTTTCCGGAGCCTAAACTCGCAAAGCCCATCGCTGAGTCAGGAGCCAGTGATCCTGAGTTGCTGTGGGCCGCGAGGTGCAGGGGTGTGATGAGGTCACGGTTCTCGGCTTGTACCACGGCCTGGTAACTCTGCGGTCGCGTGAGTTTCGGCTCGTTGGCACAACTCTCGGACTCGCCACGAGACGTTGGGAACCTCAATACACAGGCCTGAACATTCGAGTAGGGTTTGGGAGTAGATTCTACCAAACTTTATAAAGAACCTATGCATTCGTTACTATTCCGACCTGGACACCAGTATCTTGGGATTGAGGTGTTCGGGGTTGGAGGGTTCCAAGGCGGATGCGGAACGCTTCTCCGCTCTTGTAGGCGAGTTGGAGGCTGCAAGCAAATCAAGTCCCTGCTTGGAGGCCGAGGGGACTTATAGTGAGCCGGTTATAAGTAGGGTTATACCTGGGGTAACTCCATTTAGGGTACTGACTATAACTCTACAACCTACTTACGGAGTCCCCTGGGCCTCCAAGTAGACTGCAAACTTACTACGCCCTAAGCCATGAACCGGCGAATTTGAAGCAGGGCCCATCTGAGTGAAACCTGCCGTAGGCAGCAAAACAAGAGCCTCAGGTAGAGAGACGTGAAAACAGCATGGCATTGCGGAGCACCGCTCGTAGCACAGTTCAAAGCTTTATTCGGCCGTATAGGCTCGATAACCCGATACGGCCTCAGACCCCGAACCCCATGAATCTATGACCCCCATAAGCCACAAAAGCCCTACCTTGCACCCCAAAACCAAAACCCCTGCCAGCCCTAAGGCACCGAACCCTATAAACCTTCAAAGCGCCACAAAGCCTTGGCTTTGATCAGGGCGAGTGCAATACTCTCGTGGCCCTGGCACAAGAGGGTTTCTTACTTCAGGTTTCTTTTGGTTGAGGGTTTCCGGTTTATCGCTTCGGGGGTTTAGGGTTGGGGATTTTTTGCTAGGACGAACCTCGAAGCAGTGCTCGACTCCACGCGGAGAAGGGGTAGACTTCATCAACTCGAGTTTTAGCTTGAACATATCATGCTTAGAGTTGTCATGTTTACACATGCTTACTTCATAGACTTTTCGGCTTACAGGCTTAAGGATTTGGAGTGCTTATGCGGTCTGAGTTGAGAGGCTTAGGCCATTTTAGACCGGAAGTAGCTCCCTCTTAGTGTTGTGTTCAACATCTTTATTGTTGCCCGGGATCCCCGGTGAAGCGGGCCTTATGAGGCTCAAACCGGTTGGTTTTTTTGCGGGTCCCAGCATCCATTGCAATAGCGCACATTCGGCGACAATAACTTCTGAAGCTATTTTCTGCATGATGATCAAACTCTGGCTGTGCTCTGAAAGTCCTTCCTGGGGGCTAGCACTGGTTGTCATAACGATTCTGCCCTTGGTCCATCTGAAATTACTAGATTACTTCTTGGTGTTTTGTTTTGTGCAGTTTATGTTACAATCCTGCAGTCGTCCTCGTCATAACACTCATTCATCTTTGTCGCCGTCGCTGCCGTCGAGCAAACAGTGGCAGGAGAATCGCTCGGAAAAAGTTATGATGAAGGTTTCGGCGACGACCAGCACTACCCGGACAAGGTAAGGAAAGACAGCTGACTATGAACATCTCAAGCAATTCAAGTTGAAGGTGATCGGATGTTACAGGCGGACCTATGCTTTTTTGACAACCCCGAAGTGAGGTACAGGAATTTCCTGAAAGCGGACCTGCCGTGCAGCCCAATGCAGGGCTGTGTGCGCCAGCCCATCGGCGACCTGTGCCAAAAGCAAAACCTATAGGGCTGAGGTTTCTCAGCTTGTCTACCATAGGGCCTTATGCTTGCAGAGCTTTGCGATAGCATTTTCCGTGTTTATCCCGCAGGCATAGCAATAACTCATTATTATTCTGTCCCCTGTCCGTCTACAGCGGTCAGATTCTAGGGGTGCGAACCTATACCATAAAGTTCAACCTTAAGCGGCTGGGTTACAGTCTGCTGACGCGTGCTGGAGGTCAAAGCACAGTGCCCCCGGCATCGATCAGTCTGGTCCGAAAGAAGTCTACAAGACTCAATCTCATTTCCTAAGGCCAGTACCACAGTTCTGACACGAGTTGAGCGGAGCTCCCTGTTCTTTCAGAATACAGTTAAACAGTTACCAAGGCCCTAAAGCCCTGTGATTGGAATCAACAACCTCACATCTTCCGAGCCGCAACATCATGCAACGAAATGCCTCAAACCCAAGCTACCTGTCTCGGCAAAGCCGAAACCAGCCTTCCATTCTCTGCAAAGCAGTTGCTGTGAGGACCGGTTCACAGTTTACGGGATTCGACTTATCTTTGTGCCACTGTTTGTAACTCTCGAAGATCCTTACTCTTGTTCGTTGCTAGTGTTTGTTTCTGGTGCTATGACGGTATTCGCACTCTTGAGAAGCCTACAAGCCGAAATCCCGCACACCCTGAGGGCCAAGCAAGGGGATTGGCTCGTAACTCCAGCAACGCCTGGGCGCTTGCTCTGGTTGGCAAGGGCTCTTTGCTTCAAGGTCCGCTGCCCCTGCAACTGCTACCACCACCACCACCAACACCACCAGCAATCCTCCGGCTGCTGCTGCTGCGGACGACGACAGCCAGTACTCATCCAAAGCACACATGTACCAAGCAGGTTGCGAGTGCGCACATCTTTCGGCCATTGCTGTAGCTTTCCTACTGCCCGGCCTTCACGGCCAAGTCTTTTCCTGGCACAGGGCAAGGAGTGTTTTCTTTCAGGGCTAATGAGTTCCTCTTTATTGGGGCTCTTTGGCGCTTGGACCGCGAGTGCAGGAGCTAAGACGTTCCTTTGTTGAGGTCACATTGCTGCCTCTGCCACTGCCAGGCATGTCAGTGACTCTGTCAGTGCAGACGGGGTTGCTTAAGTTGTCTCGAAGGATCGGAGTGCCTGTCAAAAATAAGGAGCCAGCCACTGCATTTTACCATTTACCATTTACCCTCCCCACGGAGGTGTCAATGCAACTGGACACCAGCTCCCGCTGTTCCAGCTGAGTCCCGAAGTCAGGAAAAATGTGCTTTGTCTACCTAAACCCTAAACACTAAACGGTTGTGCTAGCCTTCGCTAGCGTTCCCTACACTTGTCTAGCCTCATCTACCCTTCCGTAGCCTGCTGCAGCCTTTCGTAGCCTTCTGGATTCCGTTGCTTTCCGTAGCAATCCGAAGTCTGATGTACGGAGACCCGAAACCCCTAAACCCAAAACCCGATAGATCCCCCAAAGAACCCTCAAAATCCACGGATCCCCCTCGAAAACCCTGTCGCTGGCAAGCAGCTCGCTGGTACGCGGCTTGAATCCCAACCCCTTGGACTACCAAAAGCTATACGTTGCTTGGCAGAGTCCCTGTGAGTGCATGTAGTGTTTAGGGTTCAGGGCCATTTTTTTGCCTCCCACCTATTGCAGGATGCAGTCAAGAGAACAGTTGACATACGGATTAGGGTTTCGCGTTTATGATGAGACTCTGCAAAAAGTAGAGTGTGTGAGTTCAAGGTAGTGTGTGTTGATGTGGGCCTTCGTAGACAGCACGCAGAAGCGTCTCTTTCAGGCAGCCTTGATTCTCCTCCTGGGCTGGCAGCTTCATTAGGGGCTGGTCGTTGATGCTCTACAACAACAAAGGGTTTAAGGTTTCAGGTGTAGTCCTAAACGCCAAGGCAGAAAAACAAAAAAAAAACATGACTCCAGCAATATGGCAAACATCCCTGATGCCGGTCAAAACCAAGATCGGCAGTCCTCCGTCATCTCCGATAAGTGCTCTTTGAGGAGGCTCGTCTTACCTGCCGGGCTGCCGCGCTCATTTGGAGGTGTATGATGAGTGCCAAGACGGATTCCTCCCTGTTTCTCCCGCGCTGGACCCCTGAAGCTCTAACTGGCACAGGCTCCTTGGCCCTGAACCCCAACTTGTTGACTTCTAAACCATTACACACAGTTTGCTGCACTCACGGGCCTGCGACCACCTCATCATATGCCTCCTGAGGAAGTACGGACCTTGGAAGCAATATCGCGTGCGGGGTGGCTCCCGGGACCCCACCCACAAATCCTGCAAGCCATAACGTCCAACAAAGCCCGTGCCTGACAAATGTCAGGGTTTCAATAGTTGGAATAGCGTTTGGGGTACATTATACTGTCATTAATATAACACGGAACCCCCTAAATATTGTACTTGCGCTATCTTGCGCTTATAGAACTAAGGAACCCCCCAACATAGTATTGGGAATTTAGGCCCTGCAGTACCTTTGGAAAGGCTTAGCTCGTGACATGCCCGACTTTCTCGCGGCGGTGCGGCCTGCCAGTAAGATGTGCGGCTCTCGGAGAAAGGAGGACTCCTCGTAAGTTATAGGGTTTAGGGCTTATAGGGCCCTTACAATGATCCCTAGGATTTCCAAGAAGTAGCCAGACGCGACGGCATCATGCAACAGCCAATGAGATCATCTCTTGCCGCTCCTATAGAACTGCCACAGAAATTTGCAAGCCGTGCCCCTAGGTGAGCTCGAAACCCACTACCACCCTAAACCCTAAACCCTAAACCCTAAACCCCTAAACCCTAAACCCTAAACCCCTAAACCCTAAACCCTAAACCCTAAAACCTAAACCCTAAACCCTAAACCCTTTTAGACTGTCCGAGACTGCGGCCTGCTTTGCCGCACCGAGGTCGGATTGCATGAACTGCCCCGGGCCCTTTGGTCCAAGGGCTCCAAGTCCTAGGCCCTGACGAGAAAATCCTAGCCTTCGTACGCTGCTGTCAAGCTTGTCATATAGCTCAAAGTACTAGACCCTAAACCCTTTTTGCAACAGGCTTTCCACTTCGCCCGGAATTGGAGCAAGCAGCCCTAGCAGCTTTACTGCGGAGCCAGCTTTCGCATCCGCCGATCAACGGCATCTGAAACTATGTTGAACAAGAAACCTAAACCCTAAACCCTAAACCCTAAAACCCTAAACCCAGCACTCTCTGCTTGAATGACATGTGTCACATTGCTGCCGAAGATTTCATGTCTCTTGAAGTCATGAGCCGACCCTGGGCTCGCGAGAAACCGGCATTTAGGTGTTCAGGGTTTTTTTGGGTTCAGGGTTTTTGTTGGGTTCAGGGGTTTAGGGTTTAGGGGTTTAGGGGTTTAGGGTTTAGGGGTTTAGGGGTTAGGGGTTAGGGGTTTAAGGGGGTTTAGGGTTCAGGGGTTTAGGGTTTAGGTTTCAGGGCCAACTCCTCGGGCTGATCGGGTTGGGGTAGTGTGCTGTACGTTGGATAATAAGCGGCAGCATCAGCAGTCACAATCGCTAAGGCTCCTTGCGCCCAAACGTTACATACTTTGGCCCTTAAACCCTAACCCTCTCTCTCTCCACTTAAGTATACGGCCAAAGTATACACTGACTTAGTTTGGTACACGGACCCTTCGGGCTACGACTAAAGGAGCGCCTTCCATGTGCAGGGCGTGCGTCCCTATGCACATTAGCACTGCAACGGCTTTTGGTTTCCCACCCGCTTCGCTGACTTAGGGTTTAGGGTTGAGGGATGCAGAAAGTCGCACGACTCAAAGAAAGGAATCACAAAAACTATAACCCGACTAATCGCCCGCTTGCGTCAGTCGTATATGGACCCGATGACTTCCACCCGCTATAAACAAAGAGGGCAGAAGCAAGCCCTGAGCCCTAAAGCCCTAGAAATCGCAAAGTATCTCAACTTGCGACGCCTGAGTTCCAAAACCCGAGACCCGAGAAACTGACAACCGTTGCATTCGGGTTGGAGCGACCCCTTAAAGATACATGTAGAGTGCACCAATCGAAGTTTAAAAGCAAGTTGTGCAAGGCGGCGGGCGTTATGGCGAGGATAATGTTGAGGTTGATATGGCGGTGGTCAGCAATCCCATGTTCAGAATCAGAAACCACCATGATTCTTGGTCGACGTCTATATACACCACCACGAGCAAAATCACACACTGTATCGATTCCGGACGAGGTTACGCACCTTATGCTTGGCTTTGTCACGGATCATCGTCGCAAGGTGCGTCCCGGCTGTTGACGCCATACACTGCTCCCAAACTTCAACCCATCCCCAGGTGCCGTGCGATGTAGTACCGCCCCCCAGGTGCAGCCTTGGGGCTAAGGCTCAGGGGGTGAGTGCCTCCGGATCAGACAGGGCTGGGGGGGATACATGAATGTGCATTACATGCTTTCAAAGTCACAACGACAAGTAAGTAGTCTCGTTCGCATGCGCCCCGACTTTGCCTTTCATGTCATCCCGCCAAAGACTGTGCATGAAAAAGCAACACCCGTCTTCGGGCAAAGCAAATGGCTGGACTTCGCCTCTTCACAGAATCTACCGGATGGGACTACTGTCAGCAGGCCTTGCACCACCGGTACTCGCGACGTCGCATGCGGACGAATACCGAGCGGCATTGATCGCGAGTTCCCACGGCTGGAGTTCGCAGCCTGGCAGCTGCTTACAAACCCGATACCCTTTAAGTCGCACTGTCTCGTCTTGACTTCGGATGTCACACATATGTCTCGGGCAATGTAAGGGTGACCTACTTCTTAAAAACTGGACAAGCATCCTTGGTCCCTTGAGAACCGACTGCGGGCTCGCAATCGGCGCTCCGACACCTGACCCAACTCCCAGCCGCCTACACCACAGCTCCTTTCGTGCCGTGCGGAACGCACGCGGCTGACGGCCTCGGTACACTGGGAGGTGAAGTGAAAAAAGCGAAGGGTGAGGGTGGGTGAGCGGCTAAGCCCAGGCGGCACGAAAATCGTGCTTGTGTCGCGAAAAAATGGTGGGATGGACCTTGCGGTGATGCAAGGCTGCAGGAGGCCACTGCAAAACAAGACTCCAGACTCCTGCATCAGCCAAACCATCTCCGAAAGGCGAGCTTTCCTCAACATGAAACCTTGTAGCTGTTGCCGTCTCCCATACTTGCAAAGGATGGTATATGGATATCGCAGCTTAAGCAGCTAAGTAGCCCCCACCGACCCACCGAGCGCAGGAAAGGCAATTGCAAAAACCTGTGCCCGAATGGAGTGTCAATCCAGGTTAATACTGGGCTAGGATGTAAAACCAACCCTAAAAGAAACTTCAAGATTCCAAGAAAGACTTGAAACCCTGACCGAAACGCAATGCCGCTCATTCTCTACCAAAAGAACCCTCAACCCAAATCGACCTGATTGCTACGATGCTTTGGACTTGTCAGGCTCCGACACGGCCGCACGAAGCTACGACCCGCAGGTGGCCGAGAAGTTCGAGAGGCCTGTGCAAGATCTCAAAGGGCTCAAAGTACTTAGGGTTTAGGGTTTAAAGGTTCCCAAAAGGCTCAAAGGGCTCAAGGTAATTCGGGTGTGGAAACCCTAAGCCCTGAACAGGGGTGTAAGGGTTTGGAAGCAAGTTTGGGGAATGCTGGTGCTATCACACAGCTGAGAGCAATCGTGCAGTCATACATGTTGATGTACACACACATGCATGTGTATATATATATATATATACAAACATTTTTCATATATATATATATACACATGCATATGTATGCACAAACATAACCGTGTGTATGTGCATGGACCATATGGATGTTCAATGCTTGTGTGTGTGTACATACATGTATATAATACACATGTGATGATATACCTAAACAAATTTACGTCTACATATCCACATCCATATCCATCCGTATTCATCTAGCCATCCATCTAGCCATCCAAACATACATGCGCATAAAAAATAAAAGCACGTGTGTATATCTATATATATGTTTATATATATATATGTATATATATATATGCGTGTATTTTTTGGCTCCCACTTGGACTATATATATATATATATATGTGTGTGTGTGTGTGTATGTATGTATGTATGTATGTATGTATGTATGTATGTATGTATGTATGTATGTATGTATCGCGACCTCCGACACCTCTCCGTGGGGGCTACATGCTGCTTCTGGATGTGTGGGGATCTATATGTTTCAGGGTCTAAGGAAGGCTAGCAACGACTAACAGCCACGCTGTGAGGTAAAAACCTCGTGGTGTGGGGTGTCGCAGTCATCTCCGTCTCTGGACGTACTTCCTGCCTTGTCACAAGGAGGATCTGCAAAGACTCCGGAACACAAAGAGGAGATGCAAACACTTCGAGAATTCGCGGAGACACGGTATGGTTTAGAGTTGAGACACTGTGAGCGCAAAGGGAAGACGAGATGTGCACGCTGCACGAGCAAGCGTCGGTAACAAGTCTGCCTGAAGAGAAGAAGTTTCCACTCCTGAAATTGTAAGCCTTCATTTCGTCTCCGCAAGTGGTAGGGCATGATAAGTGCTGCGACTAAGCTGACCTGCTGACTCCCTGCCACCCAAGAATGTTCCACGATGCAAGGACATGTAGAAACAACGGGTCCCTAAGTTGCGACGCCTTTGCGCTGCCCAACCCCCCAAGGACGCGCCAGAAAGCCATGCCGAGCGCCGGGCACCATTGCTACACGGTGTGGGAGGCAGGGGATCGCCTGCCAAGTTCTCTCGATTTTGGGGGCGCGGCCCAAAACCGTAAAGTACCATGAGCTGACAGAAAGCAGAAACGGCGATCATCATACCCTATGCACATTCAACCCTAAACAGATTCCGGTGATTTTTCCAAAATACCAGGCCGAGGCTAAGGCGAACATCCGGCGACTCTCCGAAAACATGTATAGTGATCCCCACAGAGTTGGAAGATGGGTTAGGATGTTTAGTGCTGGGATTCCCTATGCTTTAAATTGAAATCATGGGGACGACTGTTGTAACTTTCCTGTTCCTACATTATCGCTGTCGCAATGCATGATAGGTATAGACCTGTTTGGTTGACCTGTGGTCGTTTTAAGACTACTACAATCATAAAGGAACTATAGCTAATGAACACTATGGGGCTATATTGACCGCTTCGACACTTTCAAGGCCAGAAGCATGAATCAAGCCTGAACACAACTGCCAGATATGGATTTCCAGTTCTGGTATAGATCGCAGATTCCCCCTCCGCACCTGGCAGCGACGCCTCTGGGAAGATGTGTGCCAATGGTGGGAGCCAGAACCTTGGAGTTGAAGTGGCCGGAGAGGGGGAGTCGGGGGGGCCTTTGGGTTTAGGGTTGGGGTCGTAGGGTTCAATGTTTCGGGTGGTCGTAGGGTTTAGGGTTTCGGGTTTAAGGCTTGGGATGAAATGGGAGACTGTGGGTCTGGGCCCTTGTCGAAACTCAGCTCCCTGCTCCCGCCGTTTAGGGTTTAGGGTTCCTAAACCCTAAATTTGAGGGTTTGGGGTTTGATGTAGGGTTTAGGGTTCCTAAACCCTAAATTTTAAGGTTTCGACGCTCACATTCGCACAAGGGTTTAGGGTTTAGGGTTTAGGAAAACCTAAACAAAACAGCCGCGCCCTCACAGCAGTTGCTGGGAACTCAGGACGACGCTCGCCCAAGACCTGGCCAGGACATCGCAAAGTTGCACTTCGACATGGCAGCTACCCATAGGCCCTAAAGTGGTGTTTAGGGTTTGGGTTTAGGGTTTAGGGTTGGTTCCTTTTGGGGGGTTCATATATAGAATCCTATAAGGTAACCCCAAAAAGGAACTACTATGGGGCCTATGGCTACTCGTTAAAAGTCAGAACTCGATCTGTTGGACACGAGCCCCTCAAGCAGTTAGGCGTTTGAAGATTCAACCCGTTAGATGTAGTAGCTGCAAGCCATACCCAACACGAAACGGCCAATCCCTAAACCCTGTTACCAGTGCGTGAAAAGCAACTCTGTGCTGCAGCACAGCTCTAAATACTCCTACATGCAAAGTCACAACCGGCCCTGCGCAGCAACCCCAAAACCTAAACCCTGAACCCAACTTCAAAAGCATCCCTGTAGCCTGGGTCCCGAACCACTGCGCCCAAAATATCCCCTGATCCTAAAATGCAAAACTTCTTAAGGCCTACCACCCCAAACCCGAATCCCTCACAGATTCCTGAAACAAGGAACTTAACAGTAACGGGAACCCTGCACCACAGCCTCAGCTTTCAAGAGAGCCCTCGCCAAGGGGTTCATCCTAGGGTTGCTTTGCGACAATTTCGGGTTGCAGGCTTCTTGACAGGATGGGTCTCCTTTTTAAGGGTTAGAATAGTGTTCTGGACATATTGTGCACTAAGGTTTGGCACTGGCTTTGCACGAGTTTTATACATAAGGTGACAAGAAACAACAAGCTGCAGTCTGTCGGAAACAGTCCTAAGAGTTGTATCATCCCACAGCTTGACAAAGACGGTGCCTCTCGTTCTGAACAGGCAGGTTTGTTGGGGGGAGCCCCGTATATCTGCTTCGTTCGAGTCTGTCTCCTGCAGTGCCAACGCACAGAGGCACTCACAACATTCAGGAGTGTGTCCCAGAAGCCACGAAAGGACTCCTGTGACCCCAATCATACAGTTGAACTGTCAGAGCTGGACTCAATGTAACCTACAGGCCATCAAACCTTGCATTGCGGTTGAGGGGCAGAACCTAATAAATAAAGAGGAATTTGGAGTCGTCGTCGACTCTTCACATATTGATGGTCAGTTGACATGTTCAGAACCCTAAACCAACAACCTCAGACGTTACATAACGGCACGACTACACACTACACCTTAAATCCTGACCCTACGATAGATTTTGAACCCAAAGCCTTAAACCTAAACCCCCACAGCTCCAGCTGAGGGTGGAATCTCTTGAAAGGGCCCCGGCACCCCGGTTCCATCGAAGAGCGTCGGATCTGCAATCGGATGGGGCTTAAGGCAGTACCCTAGGCTTCCAGGGGCCTTTTTGCTAGTGGCCCTAGACCCCTCAAGGACCCAATAATAAGGTCTCCAGGGTTTGGGGGGGAATCGGTTCAGGATGGATTGGGGGCGTCGGGATTGGACGGTTGATTCGGCTCCTGCACTACTAGCTTGGGGCGCTAGGTTCAGGCTTCAATCCTTCATTCAGACCCCGAGAGCTTTACCCTGAGGCTCAAAATAGCCCAAAAGCTTTAAATAATATATGGTCTTTGGTCCCAAAAGCCTTCAAATATGAGTCCTTAGAGCCTTAGGGTTAGGGTTCCTAGATAAGGTTTTCAGGTTCAGTTGACGGTTTTGTGTTTCAAGGCTAGTGGCTTAGAGTCTGGGGTTGCGGGTTATCGGGTTCAAGGGGGTCGTTGCGTTGCCCTTTGCAATGGACACTGCCCAAGAAGTAGACTTCCCGTCCCTACAAACTGACCCCGGCAATAATGTACCAGATAACCCAGGACTTCAACATAGATCTCACATACGGATAGCCTACAGTGACCTGCTGAAACAACATGCCTAACGCACAACTCCCGGTCAACGAGAGCGGCGCCTGTGTTGCGAGCTGCAGTTTCTAAATCTGCCGGATGCACCCGACATAGTTGAACCTGGTGCGTGCTTTAGGGATCAAAGGAGCTTTTGCAGTTTGTGTTTGCATGATACTTTCTATGGTGTTTACTACAATTTACGACAGGGGCTACTACGATCAGGTTAGTAGGGCCCTTGCTTCGGGTGCAGTCGCTGCAAGGGCTTTTAAGCATGCTGAAGTCTTCGGAATTTGGTTGAGCCTTAGCCTAAACCCTAAACCCTACACCCTACACCGTAAACCCCTAAACCCTAAACCCCTAAACCCAAAGCCATGCTCCAGAGTTTGAGCGCTGGAGATCGATTCATGCTTGCCTTATGAGTCGCCCCCCACAAGAGCACCCCCCAAAATTAACAGCAAATGCCAGCATTTAGCAGCAAAGACTATACGTGTTTGTCAGGAAACCCCACACCTGACTACAAAGTCTTGCATGGGCTCATGGCCTGCGGTGCTATGGCACTTCGTCGTCTACACTTGGTTTCGGTCATGCATTGACCTCCAACCGCCTCCAACCTCAAATCTTCGAACTCTGACAAGCTGTATTCTTCATCGTGGCCCGTGCAGACACGCTAGGCTGAGCAGCCGGCGAGTATGTTGGGCCAGCGTGGTTCGCCTTATGTGGGAAGGATGGCAAGGTCCATATGCCAAACCAGGAAGATTGCAACCTAAACTCTAAACCCTAAGCCCTAAACCCTACTCAGTAAAGCTTTGAGATGGCGAGGGTCTCGAAATGATACTCATGACAACTCACATCAGTTGGTCTCAAGGGGATGTGTTGCAGGGCTCAAGGAGATCTGTTGAAGAAGGAGTGCCAGTCGATTGGTTCACCTAGCCAAGACACACTTTTTGTTGGGCAGCGAGGCCGCAAACGGCAATCCGACACCCAACTGCAACTACCCGGAGCCCGATGGAAGCCCACGAGAAACATAGCTCCCCGAATGGACACTGTTCCAGTCAATGTAGAGTTTGGTGTACTTTCACTGTTTGGGCTTACCCGAGCATGATTTTCTGGGCCACTTGTGACGATGATGAAGATGTCGTGCTCCGCCACAGCTGCAGAATATGGCCTAAGCTGAAACCCTGAAACTAAAGACAGAGCCCTCAGCGCTAATAAAGGCGCCTTAATAATTAGAATAGGGTCTTGGGGTATCCTATACCATAAATATAACAAGGAACCCCGCAAAATAGCATAGGTAATTATTTAGGCCCCTGTATTAAACCCTATAAACCCTAAACCCTAAACCGTGCACCTCCGGAGCCCGCGACAAGGCCGGCCAACACTCCGCTCGGAAGTGCCTCAGCATACGAAGGACGCCTCGGTGCGGGAGAGCGGGTTTAGGGTTTAGGGAGAGCATAACGTCATTGTAGGGTTTATCGATATCGGGCTTCGGCTTATCTGTTAGTTCGTGTTAATGGAAATTTGCTTTTGTGTTTCGGTCTTAGGAGTCAAGGCTTGTGGGATTCAGGGTGGCTGTCTCTTCGGGATTGAGGGCGTGCAGGCTTACGCTGGGCTGTGGGTTTAGAGTGCAATCGTAGAGTGAGGGTCCAGGGATTAGGATTTAGAGTGTTTCGGGTAGGGTGCAGGTGTAGTGTGAGAGACTTAAACTTAAACCCTCACCCTAAATCCGTAAAACCTAAAGGTTCAGGGAAAAAGGTATTTAGAGCTTAGAGAGTCTGAGTTTCGTGGTCCGGGGCTGGGGTTCAGAATCTCTCTTTAGGGGCGCGCAGGACCCGCGGCTGTTGGTGTCATTGCTCGGCTTTGTGTCTGAGCTTGTCGAGCGTCCTTGAATACGGTTTAGGGTTTTGGGTTGGAATTGTTCACTTGTAGACAAATGCTTCCGAGTCTTTGTCAGCAAAAAGGATACATGTCTTCCCTGCATGTCATGTTCGAGCTGCGTCCCGAGCTGCATTATGTCTACGACTCTCAACCGCTGCTTGCAGTGGGCTCTCAGGTTTATGGGGACCGTTCTTCTCAGCTCGCATGGTGAATCAGAGCACGACTGCGACCCAGATGGCGACGAGCCTCCCAGACGAAATCTACGCTCTCGCAACTCCGTCACTGCCAGACCAAGACTAAATACGGGTTTAAAGGGGCTTAAGCTAGCTTGCCGTCTGGTCTTGTGTCGGCGCGAGACTAGTCCAAGCCGGAATGTTCTGGTGTAAATTGGGCGAAAAACTAGCAGACCTGTAGCGGAGCTTGTCTGTGAAGCTTGTGAGCACGGCGTCTGCGTGGAGGTATTGCTGCACAAGTTCCAATTTTAAACGCCCGCCAAAGATGCCGTGATTGCAAAAACTGAGGCTATCCCGAGCTTGCAGGCCCCATCCCTTAAACGAATGCAAGTCAAACATCTCAGTCACTGAAGGAACATCTCATCAGAATCGGCCAAACCGACTGTGGCACTTTGAATGGGCCCAGTCTAGCAGAAAGACCTCTCTGCAAGAAGGTACTACAAACCTGCCAAGCTTGATCAGCCGAGAATCAAGTATCTGGGCACTTGCGTTACCTCGCACATGTGAAGTGGAGGTTCCGAAAGCTTCACGAAGAACATGAGCAAGCCTTGAGGAGTTCTCCAAACTCCAAGCCCTGCCAATCCGAAGTGTTTCCCACTGCCGGCAACATTTCGGGGAATCGTCGTCGTCAGCACGTGCTGGTACATCAAGACGAGCATCATCAACATCATCATCATCATCATCAACATCATCACCATCATCACCATTATTGTCTAGCGTGTTAATCCGGAAACTTCAACATCTTAACCCCAGGACCTAATAGCCCAAGCCCTCAGGACCGCGTGACAAGGCAAGCTGCGCTCGACTTCTTACACTCCCGGAATTGCTCTGCAGGATATCTGCCCAACAAGTTCAAAAAACTGGCGTAGGAGAGCTACCGTATCACTATGAAAGACAACCGAAGACAAACATATGTTTGAACAGCAACCCATACACATGTTGTATGTGTGTATATATATATATATAGAGATATGTATATATGTATATATATATATATATAGGGTCTGGGATCGAGTGTGACAAGAGCGTCCACATAGCCTGTGACCCCAGTGCTCGCTGAGCACGACTGTTTCGCTGCCATACCAGACTCGCCTGCTTGGCACCGGAAGCTCCGACGTCGGAGATCGATAGCCCGGCAGAGGCTACACCGTTCTCGAGCCAAAGGCCAGCGACCCTTCGCTGCTGACTTGAGGCGCCTCACCCAGCACCACGCTCGACCAGTCTATCGCGAGCTCATGGGCAAGAAAGACAACCGCAGAGGATGGAACGCAGACTCCGATGCTTATGGTTGGCCGCGATCTTCGGGTGGTCGCTATGGCAAGGGCAGTGGCAAGGCCTGGGGCCAAGAAACGGCCTGGAGAAAGGGCCAGCAGCAGCAGGAGTCCATGTTTCCTGCCTTCGACAGGATGCCGGCATCTTCCAGTGGGGGAGATCGACATGCCCACTGGGACGGAGCAGAGCACGTGGACCATCAGGAGAGGTCCCGAGGGGCCGGCGACTATGTCAACGGCGTCCAGAAGGTGCTCAACAATGTCCGCAAGGCCGAAGGACGAGCCCGTCGACTGGCTGCAGATCGCAAGGCCATGGACGAGAAATGGGCGGCCTTCCGAGAGGAGCTGAAAGCCTCCTTTATCAAAGAGAGGGGACGCTACAGCGAGAAGGTGGCAAGGCTCGAGCAGGACATCGAGGAGAACACCCTGGCGAAGAACGAGGCCCTCGAGGAGCTCCAGCTGATCATGCTCAAGCCCAAGCAGGCCAGGAAGAAGGACCAGACCACCGAGGACAAGGCGGCCCTTGCCGAGCTCGAGAATCTCCTGCAGGAGGAGGACGAGAACAGTGGAGCAGGCTTAGCGGCCATCCTGGCTGCAGCTGTTGGCGACGAGGGCCTGACCGACGACGCCAAGAGGAAGCGGATCCTGAAGGCCATCGAGGAGCACAAGGGAGAGGACGAGCCCCGAACCCCCAGACGACGACGTCCTGTCTTCCGTGCCAGAACCCCCCCGATGGACGAGGAGAAGGAGAGTGCGGCGAAGGACGAGCCCACAGAGGGCACGGGGAAAGCCCGCTATGGAGCCGAGGATTGCAGCATGGAGGACCCTTACATGACCTCTCCCTCCCTACGAAATGTGCTTCCGGCGGCCGGAGAGTCGTCCCAGCGGGGAAGGTCCAAGAGCCACACAAGGACCCCGATCAAGTGTGTTGGCCGCAAACCGGTCAAGCCCGACTCGAGGCGAGCCTTGACTTCCCGGCTGGAGGCCAAGAGGCTGAAGGACATCGAGAAAGCGGAGGCGGAGGAGATCGCGGACTCTGGGGAGGACTCAGAGGAGGCCCTACTTGGTGCGTTGCCAAAGGGAGGGACCATTCCTTATGGTCCACCGGTGGAGTGACAGCAGGGGGAAATCCACTCACCCTCGGCTGTTTGTGGAATGGAGGGGCAGAGATCCCGGAGTTTGTCTCGGTGACCTCCGACGACTTTGTCCTGACCGGCGGCTTTTTCGGTGCGTCCGCCTTATATGCAGAGTGTTCCAACACCTATGGGGAACATGTGTATACTACACATGAGCGGCTTTTTCGGCATGTCCGCGAATGTGATCTTTTGTGTGGGCTGGCGGTCCCGACCGAGCCTGCAAATGGCGACAAGCAGCACTTTGCTGCGGCGCAGTTTTGGGACATCATGGATGTCCATGAGGCTTTCATGGCCAGAGCGACGGCCTGGGGATGGCGTTTCCTGGCGATTTCCGGGCAGCGGGGAGCCGAAGCGGTGCTAACCTTGATGGCCGTGTTGCTCGGGTCGTTGGTCATGGCTCTGGGCACAGCAAGAGCACTGCCGGCAAGATCCAGATTGCGGCCGCGCCGCGGAGGGTGTGTGCACCCATGCCTCCGGCCCCTGCTTGCCTTTGCCCTGCTGACAGTAGCGTCAGCTATGCCTCTCCCAGACCCAGGTGGCGAAGGAAGTCGGCCGTCGGCTACGACGAGGTGCCCCAGGCCTACGGATGTGGAGTTGTGGTTGTCAGGACAACTCACGGTCAGCGAACAAATGGCCCGAGCCCTTGAAGGCGTGGTTCTTGGTGTTCCCTTGGAAAGCGGTGGCACTCGAGCTGAGGAAGGCCCCAGACGCTATCCGAATGCTGATCCGCCCTCCCCGGTTGATGAGGAGGTCGATTGGCATTGGATCGGGGACGACGAGGCACGGGCAGAACACATATCTTTTTGGATCTGCTCGCCCTTCTTCGAGAGTGTCTCCCTGGACGTGGCAGTGGAATTCCCTTTGGACCAGCAGAGGGCCTTTGAGATCATCCAGGACTCCACCCTGGACTTGCCGACGACGCTCCTAAGCCGTGCTTATGCCGTCCGGCCTCAGCTCGCGGAGGAATATGGCTCAGTTGTACTTGTGCCGCCATGGGTGCCGCTCTCTGGCAAAGTTGCGGTTGTGATCGACGGCCGTGAACTTGGGGAAGGAGTGCAGTGCATCTATGTCAGCGGCCCGGTCACAGACCGTATGGTACGAAGCCACCTGGGTGAAGGTGGCCAAGGCGACATTCACATTTTCGCATTTGGGTCGCTACACCCACTTCAAGCAGAGGACCAGATCCCCCCTCAGCAAGGTGGCCTTATCCAAGCACTGCCAGCTGGCAGGGTGGTGGAATGGGCCTCCGACTTTGAAACGCGCCTGGCGGCAGCAGCCAGCTGGGACCCAACCGCGGAGCATCCGCAGCACGTTGAAGGACGGTATGTCGACATGCAGTCCCTTGAGGACAGCTACTTCCACCGACTGGATCGAGAGTGCCCACAGACTGCCAATCAGGTTGCGGCGGAGGCCTTGGCATGAACATTGACAGTTTCTGGGTTAAGGCCCCCGAGGAGCGGCCACGACGCCTCTACCACCGAGGGCGCAGGGTCCATAGTCTCATGGCCATTGTCCCGGGGCAGGATTACCGCCGCGAGGACAATTGGGTGATTTTTGTGGATTTGCGATGTGTGGGCCTATGGCCTCAATGGGTGATACTCTCTGACGACAACTTCGACGCCGGCCAGTACATCGAGAGCCTTCAGCTGCCCTTTGTCAGTGACTTCTCCCTGGTCGTCCATGGCGGAAGACGTCGCAGGGACGGACGTACAGTCAAGATACAGGATGGGGAGCTGCTGGTGGTGACCCTGGTAAGATCGTCGGAGCTGACGCCTACGGCATCCCCAGCAGATAGTTCCGATGACTCCGGAAGGCACCGATCCCCTGCCACACTCCAGCGACTTTAGTACTGGATCGCCACCATCGGGGCCGGGCCCATATGGCCCTCCACGGCCGACTCCGGTCAACCGCCGCAGCCGAAGCCTCCGGGGAAGGCGCAATGATGCGGAGCGGCCTCAGGAATCGGAGCCTCGAACAATCTGCCTGCACACAGCGATCGGGCCTCCCACCTATGATTTCCGCACTTGGGGAGCCACTTGGAAGAGCTCTTCAAGCCGTGGGGCCTCAGCTGGCTGGAGTATGACCTCGGTGGCATCAAGCTGCCCAACTGTACAAGAGAGGCAGCCGACAAGCACGTTCCATGGCATGAACTTGCTGCAGGGCTGCCCCCAGGCGAGTTTCCTGAGGTTCACATTTACACTGATGGATCTTGGTGTGGAAAAAGGGGCATAGGAGGGTACGCGGTGGCGATCCTCCTCATGACCTCAGCGGCCACTGCCCTGTATGGGGTTCTTGGAGAGCAAGTGCAGGGCAATGCCAGCACCATTTGGGACTTTGCGGCGCCCCCTGCCCTCCAGAATGAGCAGATCGCTATAGCAGTCTCCATGCTCTGGCTCCTGCAGGGAGCCAAATTCCTACGATTCAGTCAGACCGTGGTGCACTTCGACTGCACGGCCGCTGGGTGGGCAGCGAGCGGCAAGTGGGCTGCCCCGAACCCCTTTGCTCGGCAGACACATGCCCTGGAGCTGCTTCTCCACGAAGTCATGGAACCGCCGCCGATTCTCAGCCATGTCGCTGCCCACTCAGGGCACCCATACAATGAGCTTGTGGATGTTCTGGCGAAGCGTGTGTCGGAGGGGCTGATCTCCTTGCCAAGTCCTCCTGAACATGTTTGCAGGACGTTTCTGGCCACCGACTGGTCATGGGCTGCCACCGAGGTGCGGAACTACCAGGTGCCATGTCTCCCCTTGAACCGGTCGAGTATACAATGGCACCCTGAGCGGCAATGTGGTCCTGCGGCTCTTCGTCCGGAGCAGTTGGTTCCCACCAAACCGGTCATTGGCGGCAAGGAGGGCAGCCGTGGCGCCTTTTACCTCCGAGCCATGACCCTTAATGCACAGAGCCTCGCTGGCAAGCACAGGTTCTATGAGGAACAGCTTGACGAGTTGCAAGTTAACGTTGCCTTCTTTCAGGAAACCAAAGGCCATGAAGGTTTTGTCAAGAGCGCAGCCTTCCTCCGGCTGTCTTCCGAAGGGCAGCGACATTGGGGAACCGCTGTCTGGGTCAGCAAAACCAGGGGCATCTTCATGCTCGATGGCAAGCCCTGCCCCGTCGACGATGCTAATATCCGGGTGGTACATGACTCCCCCAGGCTTATCATCCTTTCAGTGGACGTCTCTGGTTGGAAAGTTGTGCTTGTGGCGGGTCATTGCCCCCACTCGGGGAGCCAGGAGGAGGCTGAGCTCTTCATGGCCACCTGCGAACAACAGCTAAAGCCGTTGCGCCGAAGCGCGCTCCTCATTGGCGGTCTGGACCTCAATGGCAGGGTGCCCACTGGAGTGTGCCATGTCACTGGTGACCTGGCCCATGGAGAACCGGACAGGAACGGCAGTGCTGCTATTGGCTTGGCTCGTGCGGCCCAGCTCTGGTTCCCTTCCACCTACAGCAGACTCCATGTGGGGGATAGTGCTACCTACAGACAAGCCAATGGAGCGGAGCACCGTATCGACTACGTCTTCATTGGCGGTACGGCAGAGACCTACGGTCTGCGAAGCTGGGTTGAAGAAGGTTTTGATACCGGAAATCCCAACGAGGACCACCACCCGGTATGCCTTGACGTGTCGGGGCTGCTGCCTGGAGGCAGCAGATGTGCCGAGGATGGCAGAGTATGGAGGCCATCTTACAACACCGAAAAGATGATGACTGCCGAGGGGAAGCAGCTCTTGAACGATGCGCTCAAGTTGTACATGCAACCCAGCTGGTCTGTGCATCCAAGTGACCATTGTCAACACCTGCAAGAATTCCTCCAGAGTACCCTGGCAAGGCTTTTCGCCACGGAGACAGCCAGGCCGCGGGCCCAGTACATCCCTGAGGAGGTCTGGGCCATCAGGGAGAGTAAGCTACGGCTGAAGCGCTGCACCAGAGGGAGAACCAAGCTATGGTCTGACATGGTTGTGCGAGCCTTCAACCAATGGAGACATGGTGCAGACTTTGGTGTTGCCCTGCTTGTCAGCCGCCAGGGCCTTCTCTATGAGGTATCTGCTTTGGCTATCCGCTTTGCCACTGCGCGCATCAAGAAAGGAATCTCCAGTGGCAAAAGCCAGTTCCTTAAGGGCCTGGCGACCGCTGGTGGAGGCAAGGCGGGTGAGATCCTCAAGACTGCCAAGAAAATGGGCATTGGCGGCAAAACGGCCAAGGACGTCACTCGCCCTCTGCCGATCTTGTTAGACGCCACCGGGCAGCCGGCGTCCACATGGCGTGACAGAGACAAGGTCTGGCAACAGCATTTCGGCAAGCAGGAGGCAGGTGAGGTCACGCAGATCAGCGAGCTCATCCTGCGCGATGCCCAGCTCCCGAATGTGGATCCGGACTTGGAGTGGGACATCCAGGACCTCCCCTCCTTCTTTGAGGTCGAGGATGTCTTCCGATCGACGAAGCGGCGGAAGGCTACGGGGCTGGACGGCATCCCGCCAGAGGCTCTTGCGGCAGCACCGACGATGATGGCCAAATTGGCCCACCCCCTGATGCTCAAGGCGGCGGTGCTGTTGCATCAGCCCTTACAGTGGAGAGGGGGACTGCTTCACGAGATGTGGAAACGGAGCGGCCCGCAGTCCTCACCCGATTCGTACCGCTCCATTTTCATATCCTCCCACCTGGGCAAGAGCTACCACCGTCTTCTTCGAGAGAGAGCTCTCCCATTTGCGTCCCGAGCACTGCACAGCTTTCACCTCGGAGCTCGACGGTACGCGCCGGTTACCTTTCCAGCCCTGTATATCCAGGGCCATTTCAGGTTCTGCCGAGACAGGAACCTCTCGGCATCGGTGCTGTTCTTGGACATCCAGTCCGCCTATTACAGGGTTATCCGAGAGCTCTCTGTTGGCCACATTGAGTCGGACGAGGCGGTGTGCAAGCTCTTTGACTACTTCGACATCGAGCCGGCCGAAGCCAGTGAGTTTCTTGATGAAGTACAACGTGGTGGGACCATGGCTCAAGCGGGGATGAGGGGCCCGCTGCGACACCACGCAAAAGATGTCATGTACAACTCATGGTTTACTACGAGGTATGGGGGGCCGAAGCAGGTCGTGGCCACCTACGCGGGCTCGCGCCCAGGAGAGTCATGGGCAGATCTGGTCTTTGCCTTTGTGCTGGGCAGGATCTTGGCCCGCATCACCGAATTGGCATCTGGAGAGGGTCTACTGACCGAACTCGGCGTCACTGTAGAAGGCGGCCCCTTCGTGGAAGTGCCAGGCGGTGACAGATTGGAGGCCCAAGACAGCACATGGGCCGACGATGCTTCTTTCCCTCTGGCCGATGGTAGCCCTGAGGTCTTGATGGCAAAGACGTCCCGGCTGTGTTCCCTCGTTCTGGACTACTGCAGCCGGCATGGTATGAGGCCGAACTTGAAACCCGGCAAAACGGCTTTGCTGATAGCATTGCGTGGAAAAGGGGCGACGAAGGCCAAGGCGAAGTGGTTTCGTGGAGGTCGTCGGCAAGTTTACCTCAGGGACCTGGACTTGAATGTGCCTGTGGCGGCACAGTATGTCCACCTTGGTGGACTGGTGGAGCCTGCCCTGAAGCTGCAAGCCGAAGCGAGGCGCAGGCTTGCTATCGCCAAGTCGGCTCTAAGTGCGGGCAGCAAGCTACTGTACGGCAATGCCACCATTCCGCTGCAGGTTAGGGCCGCTCTCTTCGAGGCCACCGTCACGGCCTCCTTCTTCAATTTGGGTTTGTGGATTCCAGAAGGCCAGGGGTGGAAAGCCTTGGAGGATGGCTATACGAGGCTCATCAAGACCCTCTTGGCCAAACAATTTAAAGGCGAGCTCTACTACAAGCTGGTGGGGCCAATGATCCACATGCTGACTGGGATCCCGCGATTATACACCCTTGCCAAGAAGGCCAGACTAAGCCTCCTGATCTCCATGGCCAAAGCAGCGCCATCCGCGCTGTGGGCGATGCTTCAAGGGGAACAGCGATGGCTGGAGCGAGTTAGGAGCGACCTGGAATGGCTGTGTGCTGGCAAAGGTGTTTGGCCAGCCCGAGGGCAGCAGCACTGGCCTGAATGGCTCCACTTGCTGAGGGACCGCGGCCCGTGGGTCAAGCGCCAGATCCGGCAGAGGGCTAGGGCCGAGTTTGACCATTTCTGTTCCGAGCAGAGGACGTGCCTCGCGTTGTGGGCTTTGTACAAGAAGATCGCTCGTGCCGCTCCCTCTGATAGCGGACCGGGCGGTGGATGGTACTGCAGGATCTGCGCCAAAGGCGTGAAGAGCAAAGGAGCCCTTGGAGCTCACTTCTTCAAAGTACATGGCCGACGCGCTCGCTACAGGCAATGTGTGTCAGGCTCCCTGTGCAGAGCCTGCGGCCGCCAATACTGGTCCCGTACCAAACTCGCCATCCATCTACGTGATTCCCCCTCTTGCGTAGAGACTCTCCTGGGCCATGGCCTCCAGTCCGATGAGGTCGTCCCTGGTCTGGGGAGCAAGTTCTGGCGCTCCATTCAGGTAGAAGATTTTTCGCTTGCTGTGCCTGAAGCACAGGCTACTCCCTTGGAGCGTAAGTCCGACCAAGGCTGGGACGGAGTGGTTGAGGACGCCTACAAGGCCATGTGCGAAGCTCTACTGGTGCATGGGCTCCCACCGGTGGAAAAGGAGATGATGCAGCTCTTCCGCGACACCCTGGCGAAGTTCCCCCTCTACTTTGCCGAGATGGTCGATGTGGCGGAGCACGTGGGCCAGGATATCCGGCAGGTTGTTGCTGCGGGCGAGCATGACTACTGGACGGCCGAGACCTACGAGGTGATTTGCCATGTAGCGGACACTTTCTCAACGACCCCATGGCCTACGGGAAGTGAGGCAGAGGGTGAGGCATCGGCCACTGAGACGCTACATGATTTCGCCAAAGCAGTCGACCATGTCGACTGGGAAAGGCTCATAGGAGGGCTTGCTAGGGACCACATGACCCCTGCTAACGCTCCTTGTGTTCTGGACGACTCCTGGGAAACTGTTTGGGAGCGAGCCAGTGGGGCGTTGAATGAAACAGTTGTGGCCCAGTCTTATTGGCCCTTGGTGCCGAAAGAGCTCAGGTGCTGTTGGGAATCTGTGCTAATAGGCCGGACCCCGCGTATAGTGGCTCCTGAAAGTTTCTGGCGGCATCGTTTGTCACTGCCATTCAGGCAGTGGAAGTCTTTTGCATATAATTAGGCTGCGTACTTCCTCTGACAGCACGCAAAGGCAAATATATAGATATATATATATATGTGTGTGTGTGTGTGTGCGCGTGTGTACGTGTATTTATGTAAACAGTAATGAAAAGGTGTGTGGTATATACATATATATATATACACACATATGTATGTATGTGTCTATATGTATACAGGTGTACACGTACACAAAAGCAGCTTCTCGAGGCAAGAAGAACAAGAATCCGCCTGCTCCGCCGGGCCCAGGAAAGGGCAGCTGCTGGGATCCTGCGAGCATCCCAACCTGAGGGATAGTCGCAAAATCATATGTAGGTATCCACATAAAACTACCGAATATGTGGTACACACACATATATATATATATATGAAGAGAGAGAGAGAGAGAGAGAGAGAGAGGGAGGAGAGAGAGAGAGAGAGAGCGAGAGAGAGAGCCGGGCAGTCATATATATATATATATACACACACAGATATATATAAATCTATGACTACACATAACCGTATTTGTATATACATGTAGATAAAAAGATAAACACATTGATGGATGAATGGATGGATGTATAGGAAGGGAGAATGCATTATGTACAGAGTTACAGTTTAGGGTTTAGGTCCTAGGATGCATTTTCAGCAAAGATTTTGGCAGCACCCCTTCAGCATGCGAAGCATGGCAGAGTTCGGGATAGGGACTATAAGGCTAACGGCTTAGGAGCTAGAGGGTTTGGGGTTTAGGGAGGATTGAAGGGTTGAAGGCTTTAAGAGGAACACACTGGAGTTAAGGCGCGTCTAAACTAAGGGCACCTCGTTCAGGAGTCCTGATGTGTTTAGGACCCCACTCTTCCTGCACAGGGTCACGCCAGCAGGTGCTTCTACGGCGCAGTGTGGCACAGTGGCTTTTGCATGCCTCACCTTGGGCTCCGGCAAGATGTGCTGCTCAAGCCCTTCGCCGACCTTTGCAAGACATGCGGTTTGGAAGTACAGCTGCGCAAAACCGGCCGTAAGGTCCTCATCTCACAAGGCCCAACCGCATTGTCCGCGCCTTCCTCAGCCGCTTCTGAAGCTCATCATCCACTATGCGAGCCAGCTGGAGGTAGGTCCAAGGACCTCGAATGCAACATGCTGCTGTCGGGCGAAGAAGCTTTGTAGGTTGCTGTGGCACAAAGGTGGTTGGAACAGGCACCGGAGCGCTTCCTTGGCCAGATGCTCCCGCTTGAACGGAGGCTCTTGTCTTGGGCAATAGGATGGGCCGGAATAGTCAGAATAGGCTTCGGAATATCTTGGATTGTAGTTGCATGAAGATTCAGCAGAATGCTACACCGATGCAGTGACACGCGCCACATATTTCCACCGCAGACTGAGCTCAAGACAAACGAGGCCACCGTCCTCGCAAGCCATGTTGCGCTTTGAAGAACCTCTACTTGCTGTACGCGTAAGGGTCCGTGTACCCAAATGGTACATACTTTGGCCTTGAAATGTCCCTATATAGGTAATTTAGTGCCGATGAATATATTTGGGCACATGGACCCTTCAGGTAAATTTAGCAGTCGTCACACGACCTAAACCCAATGCCATGAGCCAGTACTTGGAAGCCGAGGGGACTTAGTAAGTAGGTCATAAGTGGAGTTCTAAGCCCCCTGAATGGAGTTAACCCACTTACTTATAACCTTACCCCCAATTAGATGTGTATATATATATATATAGTGATAACCGACTTGCTACGTCCCTGGGCCTCCAAGTAGACTGAGGTGCAAGATGAGGTCTCCTAGATTTACGGCTGTTGGTGCACTCCAACCTAACGGCAGAGGCTGCCATAGAACCAGGACTAAGGGAGTTGGTAGGTAACAACCCAAGTTACAAGAAACTCAAATTTCGTGCTATCTGAACTCTTAGTCCCTGCAAGTTAGTAGCCTATGCTTACTTGGTCTTCACGCACGTCTGGCTTCATGGTTCCGGTTGCTTGGGCTCTGAAGTTTCTCAACAAAAAAACAAGGCAAGAAGGCAGATCGCAGAGCAGCGGGGGATCGCGAGGCTGTAGCTCCACGTCTTGGTGTCCCATTTTGTTGCCTCCCACCTATCTAGGACGAGCCTGCATTGCAGGGTTGAGTTCAGAGAACAACAGGTTTGCGATCCCACATGGCCGTACAAATCTTGACATCCAAGAAGAACCGTGAAGGGAGTAATGTAGGGGCGTTAATAATTAGAAAAGGGTTTTGGGGCCCTTTATACCATACTGACTATAATTATAATAAGGAACCCACCACAACAGTATTGGTAATTCTTTAGGCCCCTATATTACCTAAGGTCCCGGGTTTCCCTTGCATCCCTCTCGTGTATGTCGCAATCTCAGGATGTGAATGTTCCCTGCTGCATCTTTAGGCCTTGACGACCCCGAAACTCGGAACGCCAAGCTCAAAATCATCATTTCTCTAGCCCCTCCTTTTTTGCAACTGGGCTTGGGGACTAGCCCCCTAAACCCCAAACCTAGACCCTAAACCCTAAACCGACTAGCCCCCTAAACCCCGAACCCTAGACCCTCTCTGAAGGCCTTCGAGCTCCCGTCCCCGCCTCTGGTGTCAACTGCGCGCTTTGTCCTGGACAGGAACGCAAGCCTTTCCGGGGTCAAGGTTTTTTTTAGGATTCCGCGTGTCTAAGGCCAGGAGTTTGGGTTTTCCCTAAATTATGCAGACTAAACATCACATCCTAAACGCTACTTGGGCTTGAGGAATTTAAACGCCTGCAGCATCTCACACAGCTTCGACACTGCGTGCTTATGTTGGCATCTTCGCAGGACGAGCCTCACAGGTCATGGACAACAGCGCACTCTGTATGCCATGCGCTGAAACATGTGGGTAGCTCTCTAAATTAGGCTCCCTTTCAGGGTCTTTTTTATGGGTGCTTTACTATATTTGGGACCCTTTATACTCTATAATTCAGATGACTACCCATGTGAGCATTTTGAGTCTGAGCTTACACCCAGGTGGCCAAGCTTAACTAGCTTTCAAGCCAAGCGGTACGTATACCGCCAATCTCTTGAGCCCCGCATCCGTTCCCGAACAAACCCAAGTAATTAACAGAATAGTATATACTTTCAGTGGCAGATACCCATTAAGAGCCTACGATATAGGTACCTCCACCCCGTGGGATTCTTGCCACTGGAGACGGAGTCCCCTGAAATTGCCGCCTGGCACGCCATCTGCCACGGCGGTGCTGCCGCTTCGTAGCAAGGCTTGCCTGACCCAGTATCACATCACTGTTTCATGATATATATATATATATATGTATGGTGCTATCAAATATGATACTATGAGATCGTATAGTATCATTTATGGCAATATACTGTCTCATACCATGCTATCTTACACAAAATTATCCCGGGACCTGAGATGCGAAAGAAATCACTTGTTGCCCTTCCCGTTGTGTCAGCGTGTCAGCGCAACTGGCAGTGTACAATCATCTGTACCTGTGCATGTCTGGTATGTATGCTTTGTGTATGTAGTTATACATACATATGTATTTATCTATTCATTCATATAATTGTATTTATTCATTCTTTATATATGCGCATACATGTACGTACGCAAGTAAGTAAGTCAGCAAACATGTATGTATCTATGTAGATAGTAAGCACGCATACATGTAGTGTCGCGTGCTTGTGTGCGCGTGGTGATTGCAAGCGCGCGAGCGTGTTGTGTGTGTGTGTGCACGTGCGTGCGTGCGAGCTTCTCAACATGAGGCATCGTAAGGAGAGTATCACGTATCGTTTCTAATTTGTGCAGAGGCAAACCATACGGTGCGACAGGCTCAGTAGCAGCATAAATTCGAACAGAGGTTTGTGCTGTGTGAACACCCATCAGATCCTTACATCCGTGGGCGCTGCCAAAGCTCTGAACATGAAGCTCGTGTTTTCGGAGTTTGTGTTTTTTTGGTCTTGCCCGGTCTCGACTGCACAGACGCTGGGAGTGTTGTCTCGCCAGCGTCACGCAAATCTTTATCGTGACTACCTATGGTCTCCATTGTAGTTACAGTTCTCTTTTTTGCTACCTTATATAGTGTACATGTCAATGGTTAAACCAAAAACGGAACTGCCCTTGAGACTATAAGTAGCTCTGACTATGGGTTTGACGGTGGTTCTTAACCATACTCTGATTCGAAGGGGCAGAGTTGCCTTGACCATGAGACCTGTACAATCGACCGGCTGACATCACGAAATCTGTCTTGCACTGATATAGACTTCATACACAGGCTTGATTGGAGCTCGCCCGGCATACCCTAAACCCTAAATCCTAAACCCTGAACCCTTTCAGTCCGAACCCCAATCCCTGGACCCTATATACCCTGATCTCCAGTGGCCGTGCTCTGTCACCATGCGGGCACTCAAGCATCTCTTGGGGTCTAGTGCAACTTACTGTTGGTGCTCCCTGAAACTCCGAGGTAACGCTTGGGGGGCGCATGCAACTGCGGTTTAGGGTTTGGGGCTATTGGGTTTAGGGAACTGCGAAGAAGTGGACTGAGAACACAGTTGACCCAAGCACAGAAGATGAATCAGAACACGACAGGTTCATAGAACGTTTATTGAAACCCTGAAGGCATCCTTCGAGGAAACCTACTGAACTGAGATCTCCCGAGTACACTCGCTCGTCGCCGAACTTTCCGCACATGCCTAAGCCCTATAAACCCTACGCCATCTAAGATCCTGGCTGCAAGGCCGCTGCTAAGCTGCTGGTGAAAAGCCTACAGTTGCATGGGGGTAGGGTGTTAGGCTTCAGGCTTTGGTTGCAGGGGGTAGGGTTGACCTTAACACCAAAACCAACCCTTTTGAAGAGAAGAAAATCATAATCAGGAACCCAAGCGATGTAGGTTTCTGAGGGTTTGGGTGGGCTACTACTGGTTGTTGAAAGATTTGAACTCGTTTGTTTCTGTGGCTGGACTAACCTTCTCTGCTTATGCATGATGTTGGTAAATCGGTAAAGGGAGAGCGCGCACACACACACACACTCTCTCTGACTCGCGCTAACCAAAGCAGGAAGCCACGGCACACAACAAACCATGGGTTAAACTCCAATGAATCCCTAAACCTCTTTGTTTGACCCATCCTCTATTTTCTCCCACGAGCTGTTTCGGTAGTCGGCTAGTAAGTAGAAATGGTATCTCTGTGTAGTATTCAGAATTAACCAAAAAGCCTCACTCCAGCCCCTGCCCCTTTCCCTGGCAAAGCTAACCCCAATTGTGGTTACTTGCGAATACGGCATCCCAATATCTCCGAGAATCTAGCTCTGTGCGAAACAACTGCCCTAAAGCTCCAAAAATCCCAAAGCTGGAGCGGTTGAGGCATGCGGACACTAAGCCCTATACACCTTCGAAAGCCAAGTCTGTCCCAAAAAATCCTAAACCCCTCAACCCGAAACCCTAAACTCAGAGGCGGACCCATAGCTGGGGCCATCAGGACTGAGAGGGGCCTCCACACCTGGTCTTCTCGTGGAACATGATAGGGGCCTTAATAATCAGAACATGCAGGGCGTGGGGACATTCGTACTACTTATATATATCTATATATATATATATACACACACACCTGTTTCATACGATATACACACATATATTATACATATATATATATATGTACACATACACATACATACATGAGTACATGCGTACATACATACTTACATACAGACAGACAGACAGACAGACAGACAGACATAGATAAAACATGTGTGCATGTGTATATAAACACATATGGACTGCGTAGAGCTCTATGGCATCTCAAGCTTCAGGTCCAGGTCTTTGGGAGCTTGGGTGTTCTACGTAGCAGAGGTCTTGGGGTTGTGTGCAAAACGCAAAACCGAACCTTAGGCTCTGGGGCTTCATCTGATTCCTTAAGCCCTCCCTATTAAGCACCGAAGTTTTTCAGGACCGAAACGAAGACATCACAGCAAGAAACCCGAACGAGGTAGGTTTTCGTGGGCTAAGGTCTTGTAATAAACCAATGCCCTGAACTCCCCAAGGTCCTACAGGTAAACCCACTGCCTAGGCCACACCAACCTAGGCGGTTCTGTTGTGTACCTTGGCCACAAAATGCCAAAAGGCCCGATGGAGTTTTTTGGCTCCCGATGGAATAGTATTGGTAGTTGTTTAGGCCCCTATAT